GGCAAAGCTGGTCATCAGCAGCCCCAAACTTTTGTTTTACCTCTTAGTAACCTCAGAGGAAGGAGGCAGTTTCCCTCAGCAGTTCAGAAGAGGTCTGGTTGGATCACTTGTGTGCCATGAACCAGTCACTTGGCCAGAAACGCATATTGGATTACTTGCCCACACCTGGTCACATGCCCAGCCCCTGAGTCCCCTAAACCATGTGGATTCTGGTATTTGACATGCCAGAAAAGGGGATACATGCTGGGAAGGCTCTAGCCTCACTCTAGAGCCTGCAAGGCATGAATGTTCAACCCAAAGATGGGTCTGGTTGTAAGTTGGGATAGGTGGGGGAGGAAATGGGAGTCCTGGGGATGGTAATTTCTAATTAATTGCTTTTGCATGTAATGAGTCCCTCTTGATCTGGTAGGACAATGCTTTTGATAAAGGAGCACAAAGTGAGTGTGTACCTTTTAACACAGAAGCTCAGAAACCAGATCCAAAGCTACTCTGAACATACTAGAGTTATTTTACCACCGAGGTTCCCAGTTTGATGTTCAATAAGCTTTAGTCTGTAGTCTCCCGAATGGCTCAAACTCAGGACTGGCGGAACACCTCTCCCTGATCCTGACCAAGGAATGAGTGGGCTTTTCTAAGGATTTGAGCGGGTTTAAAGGGAACAGTCAATGTTTACAATGAACTAAGGGTGCAGGACTCCAAAAGGAATGAGTGGCTTTCAGAGGTGCTGGGGAAAGATACATAGACACTTTTACACCTCTGTAGGTCAGAGATATTCAGTGGCAGAGTCACGTCTAATTAGGTGGGAATGAAAACACTGAAGAGTAAAAACAAGGCCCTCTGGTTCCAAGGAAACTTCTGGAATCAACTCTCCTAACACCAACCCATCACAGCAGGGACACCAACCATGTGCAAGAGATGGAGATGACAAAAGGGACAGAGCAACATGCAAAAGTGACATCACATACTTAAAAATCTAATGGGTTCTAGACCTTGTCCCTTGTTCAGCTGGCTGTTCAGAACAGCACAGCAGGACACTTAATATGACCTGACAATAGGGTTCTCAGGATGCAGGACTTGAGAGTCCATAAGAATTGCCTGCTTTTCCCAGCCTATGGAGTAAGTGTTTGGCTGGTTGCTGACCTACTCTGAGTTTGGAGGTAGTGGAAAACTCCTTTACTCTCTTATTGCCAGAAGTTGCTCTTAGCTGCAAGAGTTCATAGGTGCCTGTTACCTTCCTGTCCCAAATTATGGGATTTGGAACATCCACCAGCTGCCCTCATGTGTGCAATGGAACAGGATGCTGAGAAAAGATGCATGAGCTATCTGTGAACTTGAGGACACGGTGAAAGGCAGAAGGTAGAATTCTGGACTGTGTTCCCTGAAGTGTGCATATTAAAGGAATCAAGTGTTTTCGTTTTTGTATATGTGGATCAGTTAAGATGTGCTGTGTTCCTGAGTAATAGAACATCATTTCTAACACCACACCAGCTCTCTCTGTTAGGGGACCTTCCTCACAATAAGAAATGGAAGTAAGAGCAGGTAAATTTAGGCACCCTGATACTCTCTTTTGGGAAAACAAATACACACACACAAACACAGAAGTGACAAAGAAAGGTCAATGGCTTACTGTTACATAAGACATTTTAATACATGCAGGCACAGTGACATTGCACATGCTACAGCTCAACAGAAGCATGTTTTTCTCATTCAAGGGCTGCCAGGTCAACCATTGGTTCACAAAAGCACAGAAAACCAAAGTGTGTATTTTTCACATCAATGTTTAATATCAGCCAGACACACACTGAGCTTGTAATAAACAGTAACCACAGGTGGACAAAAGTAGGAAACAGGATTTTCTATGGACAAATACCGGGACTGAAACAAACTCACAATGCATTCCAAGCCTTTTGGTTCAGCCTCTAAAGAGCTGAACCCCTGGCGTTTCTGCACCAGCCAAAAGCTGCAATGCTGAAGAATTAATAGCTACATTAATGCTCTTTCTTCCTAATTATGTATTCACCCATCCAATCTAGGACTATAATGACAGAAAATTGAGTCATTTCTGATTAAAATTTTCCTATCAGATGAAACCTAGCCACTAATTAATTAGATTATTATAATCAATCTTGTAATGGTCTGTGCTACTTGAAGTTCATGCTGCCCTCACAATGACCTCRGCCAAAACTAGTGCTGCTTCAGAGGGAGTGTTAGTCATTAGCAGAGCATTTATTCCCAAGGAATTAGGGTCACGGTCAGGGTTGCAGGGCTGGGCTGCCACACTTCAGGGGAGGTCACGGAATATCCTGGAGTTGGAGGCTCTGCTGCCTTGCAGGAGTTTTAGAAGCAGGATGCTCTAGTCTTCAGAATCTGCTAAGATGCCTCAGATGCTCTCTATAGGTAAGGGAGGATGCTGTTGGAGAAAAAGCTTCCAGAAAGGCAAACCAAAGGATGCAGGTTTCTAAAATTCTCATCCGTGAGCCTCGTTCCCAATCTAGATGAGACATATTCCATTCAATGGGGAATTGACTATTAGCCCAAATTATGGAATAAAACTAAAGGATCTGATTTCCATAACTAGCAACCACCATAAGAACTTTGGGAAAGGTTTACAATTTGTTTCTGGAAAAGTTTTTCTTGTCTTTAAAATTCACATGGTAGGAGGCAGTTAGAATGACTTACTCCATGCTACCAGATGCAGTGCCTTTTCTTGTTTGTTTTCTGTGGTTCTAGGTTTCAAACCCACCATTGAGCCACAGGCCCAGCCCGGTGCTTTTTCTTTTCTAATATGAAGCACACTGCACATCAGTCATTTGGAGAGCACTGAGCTTTCTTCAGTGTGTTCATGATTCGGAAAGTCGACTGCAGTGTTCTGGGTATAGAAAGTAGGGATTCAAGCTACAGAGATCGAATGGGTTCCTACCCTACCTTAAATTGTACAGATGTGCAGCCCCACACATGATCAGCTCTCACCATCATGGACAGCCTCCTGGTCCCACTGTCCTTTGGTAAGCATTTCTGAAAAGCCTCTCCTTTGGGGGAATGCAGAGGAGGACCCAGGTGACAGGAGAGGTGAGTCAAGGGCATATCAGGGTTTGAATAAAAGACAAGCATAAGAGGGAAGCTGGTAACTGTGCACCTGGCTCCTGATTGCCAGAGGTGGCCAGCTGTGAGCAGAATCTGGTGGCCTTCTGGTGGCTGCTCTTTTCAACCCACCCTCCACTCTGAAAGTGAGTCAAGCAAGTGCTTTGAGTTTCTAGTGTTTGGAGAAAACCAAAATTGCACAGACAAATAAGGAATGGRAACTGAGGGAAAAGGAACGGAAGAGGAAAAGAGCTGTATTTCAATTCTTTAACCAAAAATACGGTTGTTCTCAAATCAGAGAGGCACTATTTCATAGCGGTGCCAGAAATCCTGGGCCCATTAACTCAATGAGGAGAAAACCATGAATACTCAACTGTAGTTCAGCTCTGCCTTCCTACCCATGCTTAGTCACCCCCGTGCAGCCCCCCTCTGGCAATCTCTTTGAGGCAGGCAAGCAGCCATATCTCTTACTTCTCTAGTCTATTTGTACCTGTCTGGTTTCCCAAGTGGGTGCAAGTCTGATCTTCCTGGTTGCCAGGTTACTGGTGAGGCCCTACTGTCCCTTCGCAGCCAAGGTTTAGATGATCTGAGTAGCAGAGATGTGAAAACAATCCTGCTAAAGCCTGTTCACCTCTTGACTCTACCCAAAAATAGTTCTGCAAAGATAGCACAGTAGAGTTATATGCACACTTAGGTGAATTAAACTTGGCAAATAAATAGATAAAATGTAAAGAATAAGAGAAACGAATAATATTTTAAATAATTAGGCACTTCTGCCTGCCAATTTTTCAGTCGTCCTAAGGGTAGAAAACATGTTCCTGCCATTCCCATGGTGATTCTCCATGAACTTGACCTCTCACATGGGTGAGCATCCCACTGTCCTAAGGGTAATTCTAGACTATAAAAGATGTTCAGTATTTTAATTCACCTAGTATTAGCCAAAATGAAACAAAAAATAAAGAGCACAAGAGTGACTTGTTTCATTACAGAATGGCAACTCACTCCTTAGGCTTCATTGAGAAGATATTTCCCATATATTGTGGGTAATGAAGGTGTTTTTCAAAGGCAAGTCTTACATCTTCCAATTGCACTTCTAACTTACTATATAACCACCCTGTACAGTGCGACTTCACTGAACCATAAAGTAAACATTGTCATGTAAAGATGTTCTTGATCCTATCCAGATGCAGGCTCTGCTAATCTTCAGAGGACAATTAGCCCTCAAGGAACATGCATACTGGAAGAAGGCAAATGGTGTGCTACTATTCAACAACTGGCTTGTTAAAAAGAAAAAGGTGCCCTGATTTGTAGCATTTGCTCATTTCCCATGGCATAAATCCTCTCATCATCACTGATTACAAGGTGCCAATATCATCTCACTGAAAGGAAGTTGGGGAGCCATGTGCACAGTAGGCTCTTACCAGTTGATAAAAACCAAGGTGGAGCTGACCCAGCACCCTGCTGAAGGTCCTATAAACCTGTTACTTCTATCTGACCCTATGCATTTCTTCCTCATGGGATTCTTTATTTCTATGCAATCTGTCTTTGGGATTCTGATGTCTTAGGAAGTTTTCCAGCTCTGAAGAGGCTCATTGTGTCCGATGTTCATTTGTCACAGTGTAGTCAGAGGAATGGAAAAATAAATCTGCAGATCTTCCTTTTAAGATAAAGGCCATTTAGAATAACAATTGCAGCACTAAAGGCAAGGTGCAGGTCCTCCAGTACAACCCTTTAGTTTTAGATGAATAAACTGAAGCACAGAAAGTGGATAAATGACTTGGCTCAAAGTCACACAGTGAATCAGTGGTGAAGTCAGATCCCAGGGGCTCAGGCCCAGGACTTTCCATGGCATGCTGCCCGCTTCACAGGATAGTCATTGTCACATTGTCTACATCATGAGGTGTGGGGTGGCAAGAATTTGAGAAGTCCCAAGTCAGGAAGAAGATGTAGAGGCCTTTACAGGTTGTTCTTGTGGCCATCCTCTTCTTGTGGGTTTTTGGTTTGTTCCAAGGCTAGATTTGCTTGACTTTTATTAAAGTCTCTTTTAACTCTTAAAGGAAAAGAAAGAGAGAGAGAGAGAGAGAGAGAGAGAGAGAGAGAGAGAGAGAGAGTTAGTTTTATTCTTTGAAATCCAAAAGTTTAAACATTTGAAATGATAACAAAGATCAACAATTTATAAAGAGGTGAGTCGAGAAAACCTTAAAATGTCATTGTATTTATATCCCAATTCGTCTGCCCTTCCCACAAACAAAAAGTTGATGTGAGGATAATTTACTATTGAAAAATTCTTTTACAAATAAAAAGCTTCCTGAATTCTCCAAAATTTCTATAATAGATGTGCCTCATTTTTGTCATTAGAAAAAAATAAAAAAAAAATGTTAAAAATAATACATTGAGTTTCTGCAAACAGAGTCTGGCTAAAACAGCATCATTTTCTAAACTGTTGTTCCCCCAGCAGTTACTTACTTTTCTCTGTTGAAAATTATAAACTCCTTCCGGACAGACTCAAGGTGCTCTTGAAGAAGGCATGTCTTTAAGGTGGACATTGAAAAACAATAGACGTGTAGTTAGCGGATGAATGAGGGTCCTCACAGCCAATAACCTACCAAGTTTCTATTCAACTGCATTTAAGAAGTACCACAGTAGCTTCAAGATGGAACCTATATGAGGAAGATGCTGGAAGATGGCAGAGTAGGGATCTCTCTATCTAATCAACTGTCCTAGCAGAATCTGTCTGATGAAGGTCTATGGAGGGCATATTGTTCAGGCATATTGAGGGAAGGCATGGGTGGTAAGATGGTTACTATGAGTTTCAATTCTTAGCATAGTAGAAGCTATCTGCTGTCCACCCTCCACCCTGGCACAGAGCTGTGCCCATGTTTCTGGAGCTGCCTGCATGAAGCTTGCAGGAGCCATGATGGGAAATTAGGATTATGTCCTCCAAATATGGGGATCTCTGTTCTGATCACTGATTGCCACTTCTGATCACAGAGGTGCCAGAAGGCTGGTTGCCACTGTCGTACCTCCCTCTCGACAGTCACAAGTCCCTCTGTGTCAGACAAAATCAGGGTGCCAAGTTGACCTCCTAACAGCAGCTCTCAAAGGTATAGCAGTGATCACGGGATGCCCATCACCTTGGGTTTGGTGGGGTCCGCCTCACCTGTGAGGAATCACATTTCCTCATCTCCTTCTCCTTCTTTGCCAGACGCTTCTTTTTCTTGTGAAGGGGTTTGGACTCCAGAATCATTTCTTCGAGTTCAAAGGTAGGGTCACAATTCAGCCTGCCTCTCTACAAGGGAGACAGGTTGGCTTAGTCCTCACGTTCCTGTGTCATAAAAACACACCAGACCCCACGTGGAGGAAAACACCTGGTCCTAAGCAGCAGTCCAAGAATGATAAGCTCGGATTCCTACTCCAAGTTTTATATCATTCGTTGCCAGCCTCATTTTTCATATCCTTTGACTTTTTATTGTATTTATTTTTCTAAACTTCCAATTACTTCTCAGGGAGTAACAAAGGACACCAAATTAAAATAATTTTTCTACAGTTTGAGCTTTCAGGTCTCTCAAAGTGTGTTCTCATAGATCAGAGTCTGGCTTCTTTGACTTCCTAGGTCTCCGGCCAGGTTTTCCAAATCAGAGCTTCTGAATAGGAGACCCTACCTACCCTTTAATAATGGCCTCAAATGATTCAGTTTCATAGGAGCCAGAGAACTGTGACAGAGAGCTTATCTCAGGGCAACATGCAGCTAAGAGAAGAACAGAATCAACAGGTGGTACCCAGACTTGCATCTTGTCCACATCAGCCAGGCACAAGCTGTCCCATAGACGCTACAGAGTGACAGGTAGGAGTTTCAGTTCCCTATTCTGTTGCTCCATAAGGTGGAGATTTCCATGCTCAGGATCCCACCACACTGTGCTTCTCCTTCTCTGCACTTCCACTTGACCCTCTCGCTGTCACACCCCTGCCCAGCAGTTCACTCTCAAGGTCACATCCCCACGTGCCCATAATGAAAATCTCTGAGTTGTTTCCTTTGAGTCCCTAATGGGGCCATTCTTGTTCCCAATAACCCCACAACTGAGTGTGTTACTGAATGTGTGACTCAGGCCTCAGGCCGAGAGAAGAAGACAAGGCCTCACTACGGCCCCGGCCTAAGCTTTCACCAGCAGTCTGTCAGGGGACACAGATGTCCCTTGGTCAGGTACTCACTCAGTGGGAATTATTTCTCTTTGGCGACTGATCCTTAAAAAATAAAAATCCACAAGATAAAACTAGCAAAGAAGGAGGGGCAAGTGGTAACAATGAATTCCTCCACAGTTTTCAATCCTCTGACTAAGAGCTCTGTGGACACAAATTATGAGGACATCTTTGAAGTCAGAGAAAACTTTTTTTTTTTTTCCAACTAGCAGATTCATGGAAATGACTATTTGAGGGACTAAAAATCCTTTCCAATAAAAGCACAGCACAGAGAGTGCTTAGGATCTAGATCCCCAGATGTGACCAGACCTGGGTTAGAATCCATCTTGGCCACTTGCTAGGTGACTTTTGGTGACCAACTTACCTAACCGCATGTGTTTTCTCATACAAAAATATTTGAGCTCTGTTACAACACTGGTGTGACTTTCTGATCAGGCWCACAGAGTGATGATGTAACAGAATGGGAGTTATGTGGGCTTGTTAGGATTGACTCACATTGGGAATAAATCCTGGAATGAGCCGCTTCTGCAAAACCGCATCCCAGTTCATGTCATTCATATATGGGAAGTTCTGAATGTCCGTCAAGTGAGAAAATCGTTGGTCTGGATTAGGTTCAAGTAGCTGCCAATGGAATAAAACATTAATATCATGAGGAAGGTCAAAACAGGGGGACAAAGAATACACTCAAATCCCCTCTCAGTGTTGTCATGTACAGGACTGAAGGGGACAAGGTCATGCCCCCTTCTCTAAATCCACATGCTAATAATACCCACAGTGTAGAGTCACAATCAACACTAGGAGTCAGGTTGCCATGTAACAAATACAAACAGCTCTTCCAACTCATTCAAACACAGCTTTGATTCCTGACTTTCCTACTTACTAACTATGGCATGTTTGTTTTCTCAACCTCAGTTTACCAATCTGTAATAAAGAGATAACAGCTTATTTCACAAGGCTGTATCTGGGATTAAATAAGGACATGAATATAAAAAGTTGTTCGCATCAGGTGGTAAATGTTCACACATTTTTACAAGTGAGACGAATTTTTCCCCCACAAAATATTTTAGCTGTTTTTACAATTAAATTCAATATCCATTACGTGGCACAGATAAGGTGTAGCTAGGTTACTGTTATAGTTCTTTCTGGGTTTCATAACTGGAGTTGAAGATTTTCCCTGCTAACCACTCCATCAACAGTGTGGCTCAAAGGGGAAATGTCAGTTCCGCCTGGGAATGCTCCTGGAGAGGACAACCGTGGAAAGTCAGGCTGTAATTTGGGAGTGACGTGGGGCAGTCTTACAACTGAGAAATAATTTGCTATGAAAAATGGCCCCCCTTCATTCTTTACTTGTGATATTACTAATAGCAATGTTCCTATTCTAAAAAAGGGAACTTGATTCAAAGACAACAGACACAGATTTGGAATCTTTAGCTCCTTAATCTCTTTCCCTTACCAGCACAACCTGGGAAATTTTCTCTCCTTTAAAAACAGCAACAACAGCAACCACGACTATCCTCTTGGGCACCTCAGCATCTGTTTCGTGTAATTGTTTATCATACACTACTGAGCTCCTACTATAATTGTGTTTAGTCTTCTTGGTGAACATGGGTGCCCTAAAAATCCAATAAAAACTATGTACCTCATTCATTCAAATACCACATTTTCAGCCAGGAGATGCTGAAAATACCACGGCACACAGTCAGACATGGTCCCTACCTCCATGCAGCTTTTGAGAGAATAATCATCAACCCAAGGATCACACTAATGCTACGTGTAATTTCAAACTGCATAAATGCTATGAATGACAGGCTCCCCAGGGAAGTGCTATTTGAGCTAAGATCTGAAGCTGTTTCTCCAACTATGTAGAAGGGCCAGTGTTTTTTGTTTGCTTGTTTTAATTTCTGACCCATGCAAACTAATATGTGGTCTCATTGTGCCCAGCCAGTGTGCAGCTCCACACCATGTACAGCCTGTAACTAGAGTTCAACATCAACTAAACAAGCTGTAGACTATTCAATGAGACAGATCCATTTGCCATGTGCATAGACACTACAGCAACATCAAACTTCTATAAATATTTCTAAATGCTTCTCTTAATATCTGGTATTATAATGTACCTATAGGAGGCATGAACTAAAACTAGTCAATGAATCATGTTGAGTATTAGCAATCTCAGGTATGAAGTGGGAGGGACTGCGACTGGAGGCAGTGCTCCAGGAAGAGAGATGAGCATGTGCAAAGGCCATGTGGTCAGTGGGAGAATGTTATGTGAGGCCAAGGAAGGGGAGGTGAAGGAAAAGGAGAAAGCCAAAGCAGTTATATATAGGGAAAGATAAGGACCACAGTTCAAACACTGTGTGTATTATTTTGATCTTTRTTCTAAGAGCAATGGGAAGACACTGCACTGTCCTTTGAACAGACCACTACAGGGCAGAGTGGAAGACAGAACGGARTGGCAAAAGCATGTAAGACAAAACTGGGAAAATAGGAGTGGAGTTGAAAAGTAAAAGATTCAAACGATATTAAAATGTCAAATTTCAGAACTTGGTGGTGATRGATTGGACAGGGAGATGATGCATGAGTCCTGGTTGCTGGGTTGCATAAATGGAGTATGGAGGGGCCAGTCACTGAGAGAGGGAACACTGGAAGAGGGCCAAGAAATACAGAGATCAAGATTTCCATCTGGACAGAATAGTTTTGAGACCTCCAGGGGTACTTGTGGACTGACTTAATGAAGTCATGTATTTAAAAGCTGTTAGCTGCACAACCATTCTAGAAATATGTATTATTGTGAATGACTGCCCCAATGTTAAATTCTAGCTTTTTAAACCTTAAACTGGAAAGCATGCTTTTTTTGTTTGTTTGTTTGTTTTTTCTTGTAGTGGTCCTAGGATTGAACCCTAGGGCATTCTGTGGAGGTACATCCCCAGCACCCGCTCTCTTTTTTTTTTTTTTTTTTTAGTTTTAACTGTTATTTTGAGACAGAGTCTCACTAAGTTGCCAGGATGGCCTCAAACATGCTTTCCTGCTGCCTCAGTCTCCTGAGTCACTGGGACTGCAGGTGTGGGACGTGTCACCCAGAAGCTCATTTCCTTTTGACGTGCAGTCTTCCCTCTTACCATTTTCTGTGGGTGCATAATAATTATRTAGAATGCTGGTTTTCAGTGTGGCCTATAACATAATTTGATTACTTTTCCCTCCCCAACCTTCTTACCTTTTTAAGAAGTGACACCATTTCCTGTGACCAGGCAGAAGGGTAAGTCACAATAGCCGTCTCAAACATGTGCACAATTTCCTTGCTGGATGTGCTGGAGCGAATATGATATGGTCTCTAAAGGGAGAGAAGAAGGAAGAGTCTTCATTTTTTATCAGGCAAAAGAAAAAAAAATCATGTAAATATTCCCAAGCTAAGTTTTCAACCAATAAAATATCTGTATCAATTACCACCCCATCCAGTTGATTATGTATGGCATATGTGGTCAAGCATTGCCACGCCTCCCGCTTTTTAAAAAAGAGAAGCCAGAAACTTCTRGTTTCTTATGAAATATCACAAAATTTTAAAAGTGTGATTCCACTAATCCAAACAAAATATTTCATGAGGTGAATCAGCCTCTGAGATGAAACTGGCTTATAAGGTAATTTATGTAAGTATTTACACAAACTACTGAGCATGGACCTAAAGTTAAAAGAAATTCAAAAAGTTATATAAGAGTTGATTATAAAGAAACCCAAAATTTTGCTCGGCCCTTCTTTTCACTTGTTTTAAATATAATGAGGGAAGTTCAGGACAGAAAGCTCCCCAGAAACCATCAGCCTCAGCCCCAATTATATTATGAAGCAAAACAATATATATATATATATATATATATATATATATATATATATATATATATATATATATATTTTTTTTTTTTTTCCTTCCAATTTCCCTGAGAACCAAGTTCATCCATAGTTTCAACTCTGGGAAAAGAAATGGAACTATGGATCTGTTATGGTTTGCACAGCTTCTCACTAGAGGGCAGCATTTATCCATATTGATTTCTCTATTTCATAAAGGACTCACCAACACTGGAAATTTCAGCTCTTTTGTGTGAACTGAAACCAGGAAGTATAATACACTCACATTCTTGTCCATGCGACCTAGCACCTAGCAGGTGTTCAATGCATGTTTGTTGAACAAACAAAATTTCTACATTAAATTAACGGGTGGGACAATTAGTATGTATACACACACTTACCACCTGCCTGGCCATTTCCAGATGTTTAATAAATGACTGTGGACTGATGAACTAAAGTGAGGGAAAGGAAAGGTTTTATGTTTTTCCATTTGGTAAATCAGTATTAAGAAGTAATATAATGAAATAAAGGATTCAAGGACGGAGGAGAAAGGATTCGGGTACTAAACTCTGCCACTCAATTTCTGGATTTCAGTTTCTTCATCTGTAACATGAAGATACCTCAGCTGCAAAATGAACCACCTCATGRGATTTCTGGGGGAATCAGAGAAGATAATACTGTAAAGTTCTCCATAGAGTGGCAAACACCCACTAGATACAACACAGGAGAGCTGTTTTTATCRTTACTGATACAAGTGTAGAAAAGGGCAGGTGTAAATGTGAAGAGTGATTGACAAAATGAGTCTTCAGTAACCACGATGTGAAGAAAGACTTAATTCTACTCATAAAAAGTCAATGTTAATTACTCTGGGAACCAGGCAGTGCCAGAAGGTGACCTCTAGGAGAAAGAGTAGGTGGAACTTTTCATTCTTTTTAAGTAAGGTCTCAAAACAACTACAACAGTTTTTCCTTCCCTCAAGACAAAATAAAGGACCATAGCTAAGCCATTTGTCACAGTAATAATATAGGGAAATAATATCTCAACTCAATATCAGAAAAAGAAGTGCTAAARGCTTCATTTCCAATATTTATTGGCTATTACTAGCCTCAGGGCAATGTAGGGTCTTCCACAGGACTCATCCACAATCCACCACAACACAGGAGTTGAGCCAGGCTTAGCATATACAAGATTCTGGGGTTATATGAATTTGTATATGGATTTTTTTCTTTTTTCCTAAATTTCATCTTTATTTCAATTCATTGTTTTTCCTAAACCTGTTATCTCTTGGCCATCTACAAAACAAAACAATTGAAAGCCTTGAATGAATTAACTTATGAATGCCATAAGCAACTAGTTTAAAAGTGTATGATTTTCTTTATTTACTTTACAAGGCCACATGACTGAATTTCACATTTTAAAATAATCTCCATGGCCTGTCAGATCAAAATTAAAAAAAAAAAATAATCAAACTGTCTTTATCTTATTCATTAACTTACTTTTTCTAGTTCAAAATTTTAAAAATTTATTTTAATTCATCAATTACCAAAAATACATATTTATTCATCTAACAAATATTTTTTGAAAGCCTACTATCTTCCAGTTCCTCTGTTGGGCATTGGAGATACAACAGAGAGCAAGAGATTTGTGATTTCTATGTTGGAGCAGCCTAAAATCTACATATAGAAATACATAAATACTTATATGGATCATACACACAAAGAGAAACACATACATTTCAATAAATGGGATACAATGTATAAGAAACATGAAAGTTGTGACATATTACAGGGTCTAACAATTTTAAGGTAGAATATACATTAAAGGCGAGAGTACAAAGAATGAACAAGATAGAAAAGTAAAATGTTAGAATTAAATGATATGTTGTGACTATAGTCATATTTTGTGAGTTCAAGACATAAAGAGCTGCAGGGAAGGATGTACGATTTTGATGCAAGAACTGCAGAGATGCCTGTTGTAAATTAATCCTTATGGGTAATACAAAGCTATACAAGCCAGGGATCCATGGCTTTCATTGGCAATGGGATAACTAAGAGACTTAGAGACAGGGCAGCAGGTTAATAGTTAAGGGATCCCTTCACCAAGACTGCCATCAGCTCAGAAACTGCAGGAATCATTTTTAAGCATATGTTCTCTTTGAAGCATGTATTTTTTTCTGTAAATAAGAATTTGTAAATATGGAGGAAGTCATTGTTTATCAAACTTCCTCTGAGGTTTAGCGATGATGATACTTGTAATTAAATGCTAGTATTTCCCTTTCTTCAGATTAGCTATATTTTAAACATAATTACATATAACCTCCTCAGTGGTTTTTCCTAGAATGTGTCAAAATTGATCTGAAGTGATTTGTTACTCCATTCATTCAATACACATTTATTATGTATCTATCAAAAATTAAATGCTGGGATAATACTGAACTATATAAGATATACTCCTCACCTTTAGGAAATTAACAATCTATAGAAGATACAAGGACATAAAACTAGATATATATCTGGAAAAATTTTTAAGGGCTATATATTTACAAAATGAATTTAATCCCAAAAAGTAAAATGGGTTTAGGTGTTCTGATCTAGAAAGTTATACATTTTATGTTATATATGAAAAAATAATAAATCTCAACAGAAAGGTGAAGCATGATTCTGTTACTGAGAGATGGAAATGATCAAAATATGTACAAATATGCCACAATGTACAAATATGCCAGAATGAAACCCATTATTCTGTATAATTTATACATACTCATTAAAAATTCAGTGAAGTAACAACAACAAATCATATCTATTTCCATATATGAAGACAGATTATCCTTATGAGAACAGAAAAGATTTGAGAGTAAATATAACAAACTGTTAATTCTTGAAGGTGGGTCTGAAGGTCACAGGGGGATTGATTTCTTAACTGTAAATTTTCTTTGCCTTTAGGATGATACTGGTTTCTTACTTTCATTTTTGTGGTTTTTCTGTATTTTTTCAAGAAGCTTAAATTCAGAAAGGTCATAACAGAAAATACCTAGACATTTGACAGAGAGTCAGGTCAGTTTAGTTGGAGAACTCACAGAAAGATCCTCTGGAGGAAGTGCCACTTGTCATAGGCAATAAAGTATGGGCAGGATTGTAAGACAAGGAGATCCGGAGAAGGCCATTCCCACATCAAATTGAGGTAGTTCAAGAGCACATCCTTTCATAGAAATAAGAGTRCACATTGCATGTAAATCTTTAACTTTATTCAAATTCAATTTAGCATTTCCCAAATGTAAAAAGAGTGACTTTTTAAGAAGATGAGGGCTTGTCTTAGAAATATCTTTATAGGCAAAGAAAGAAGAGATGAAAAAGCCCGAGGCTTGCTTCAAGAACAGGAGGAAATACAGAGGCTTCTGTGAGTTCCTGAGGGGTCAAGATTATTTGAATGGAAGCAAATTCTGAAGAGTCAACCTAGTTCTAAAGACCAAGAATGCCAATTTACGGCATATGAAGGTGTGTTTGTGTGTATGTGTGGGGGTGTGTGCATTCGTAAAGAACTGGGGAGCAAAACATTTTYGTCTTGAAGGAAAGGTCATATCTGTGTTTTAGGAAAGTAAATTTGTCAGTGTTGTTAGATCACAGGGAACTAACTTAGAGATAAAATAATATGAGAGGGGGTAACTGTTTTCTTAGCAAAATTCTTCGCAGCCAGGCAAGAAGACCTCTTATGAATATGTGATAATTAAATACAATCCCAGTTCTATTTAAAGAATATTAGAAAGTTGCTTCCATTTTTTAATTCATTGCTCAGATTTTGTTTTGCTGTGTGTTACAGCAGATGAGGGCAGAACACAGCTGCCCTGAACCACAGAGGGTGCTAGATAAGGAGCCAGGGGACGACGTCGTCAGGGGAGAAGAATTTGAGGGTGAGATGGGAAAGAACAGAGATTTTCTACAATCTAAATGATATGCATCTCTTCCCTGTTTGTTTGTATAATAACTTTATATCTACATATTCATTAGCTATTTTTAAGAAAACAGAGGAAGGAKAAAAACAGGCCCTATGTGAGGCCACTCATGGAGGACCCACATGTCTGGCTTATAGAAGTGGTCCACCTCCATTAACATGAACAACTCACCAAGATTGGAATCTGCTTAACCAATAGTGTTATGTGATCTGCAGGAACAGAGGAGTAAGAACAGTGAACAAATCAATGTTGAAGTGTGAAATGAACCACATGGAGTGAATGAATCCAATCCAACTATGAAGTCCTTTTTTTGGTTGCTACAAAAGCAAGYATTTGTCTTTGCTTCCCTGAGCAAACTGAAGCCCCAACTTCTAACAGTTATTCTTCTAACAGTTATTATAAGATGGGAACAGGCCAATCAGTTGTGAAATGGAACTCTTAGTGTAGAATTTATGGTGCAATGATATAAGGCCAGGACAATGGCTGCTGACTAAAGCAGAAAGATCAGCTCCAGAGGTGAGACTAGCTGCAGTGTTTGTATGATAACTTGATACCCAGTTCCGATCCTGTGGAGATGAGTGAGTTCTGAAAGTTAGGGAGGCAACAGTCTTCAACTCCTGGGTCTTGGAGGAATCCCAGTTGCATCCATTACCAGAATCCTGACAGTACACAGCTACTTATGGATTGAATGCTTGTGTCCTGCCCTCCACTTGTATGTGAAAGCCCCAACCCTCAATATGATGGTATTTGGAACAGGAGCCTTTGGCGCATAATTAGGGTTAGACTAGGTCATGGGGGTGGAGCCCTTATGGTCCTTAGTAGTCTTACAAGAAGAAAAAACGAGAGGGAGGGAGGGAGGGAGGGGGAGAGAGAGAGAGAGAGAGTGAGAGAGAGAGAGAGAGAGAGAGAGAGAGAGGTTTCTATCCCCATCACTTGGGGACACAGTGAGAGGCAGTCATCTGCAGGCTAGGAAGGATCCCTCACCCAAAGCTAACCATCCTGACACCTTGAACTTAGAGTTTCAGCCTCCATTATTAAGATAACAAATTTCTGTTGTTTATGCTCCACAGGAGATGAATTTTTTTTTTTAAGACAGCCCTGGCTGACCTAATAGATATAGGTACTGGGGAGTGGAGTACTGCCAAAACTACTCAAACATTTCCAAGTAACTCTGAGGCTAGTTATTGGGTAGAAGCTGGAAGAGGTTTGAGGTATACGCCATAAATATGGATTTTAGGAACAGTTCTCATCATGTCTTAGACAGAAATGTGGAACATGTTATCAGAAACGGAAGGAAAGTGATCCTTATTATAAAGGGCCCAAGAACTTTCTGAACCATGTTCCAGTTTTTCATGGGAGGTAGAACTTGTAGCATTAAAATGGGGTATTGACCAAGAAGATTTTTAGACCACATGTTGAAGGAGTGGCTTGGTTTCCCCTGACTACTTACAATACAATATAAAAGAAAGGGGATGAATCAAAGAAGAAATTGTATACAACAACRACAGAAAAAGAACCAGAAATTGAAAAGCTGCAAAACTTTTGGCCTATATATATTGCAAGAAATGAGACAGCTTGTTCTGAAAAGAACACTAAGGATATAGTTGAACAACCAAATGAAGAMGAGATGACATGTGTGGCTCAGGAATATCATAAGATATCTMAAAAAAAACCCACAAAAACCCAGAGATAGAGATGGGATTATACCACAAGGATACTCATGGTTCAAGTTAAAGGCCAGAGAGAAAGTGGGATGGAGTGAAGGAAGACTAACAGACTTCTTAGATTTCACAAGGCAGGACCATAGAGCTGTCTGGTTGTGAACATGCACTATCCTTCTGGTAAGGGAAGAAGACCCCAAGGGTGATTCAGAGACCATTAGGGCTGCCACTCTGACCACAGGTCCTGAGTGCATTGGCTTGGGGTCAGAGTTACCTCAGTTCCAAAGGGCAGGACCACCACCTGGCAGAGTCCTATAAGTGGGATGGCAGATACCTATGGACAGAGCCCCTGAAGGGTCACTAAGTAAGTCTCCCGTCCCTTACCTTCAGCCATGAGAAAGATGCTGCCAGCCCTGGAGGCCTGGAGGGAAGATAACCAAGCCAAAGAGGATTGTGCTTTTATTCTATTTTTAATTGACTTATAATATTTGCGCTTATTTATAGGGCGTGATGTATACAATGTTTGAGGATTAAATCGGGGTAATTAGAATTTCTATTTCCTTAAATGTTATCCTTTCTATGTGTTGGTAACCTTCAAACTCTTCTCTAGTCATTTTGAAATGTATAATTAATTGTTGTAGGTCATAGTTACCCTACTGTGCTATGTATACACCTACACTACTTCCCCCAAGGTATTTTGGTACTCTTTCTTGACCCGATATTCACCTCTCCCACCCTTTGGAAGCTCCTGGTATCTGTACTCTGCTTGCTACTTCTCCCTACTGTGATCAATTTTCAGCTTGCACAAATGGGTGAGAACATGTTCTATTTGTCTTTCTGTGCCTGGCTTATCTCATGTAATATAAGATCTTCTAGTTCCATCCAAGTGGCTGCAAATGACAGGATTCATCACTTATTATAATCAAAGAGGATTATTCTTGAGACTTAGGATTTAATGGACTTTGACCTACTATTCCTTCCTTGTTTCMCACTTTTCCCTTTTAGAACAGACTGCCGATCATATGTCTGTGCCACCATCATACTTCAGGAGTACAAAATTTGTATTTTTATAAATGCACAGAGGGAAAAGAATTTTGCCTCAAGATGAATCATCCCTTGAGTCTCTTCCATAGTTGATTTAGATAATATCTGGATGAGATTTTGAACTTTAGGTTTTAGTTTGGGACCGGATGAAGAAATTTTGCATGTGAGAAGGACATGTGAGAAGGGGCTGAGAGTGAAATTTCATGAACTGAATGTGTCCTGACCCGAATTCCTTTACTGAAGCTCTAACTTTAATAGAGACAGTTCTTTGGCAGGTAATTAGGGATAGATTAGGTTATGGGAACAGAACCTTCATGATGGGATTTGTGACCTTAAAAGAAGAGAAAGATATCTCTCTCTTCCACTTTTTTTTCTCTCTCCTCCCTCTCCCATYCATGAAGACACAATAAAAAAAAGTCACTGTCTCATGACATAAAGATAGACCTCTCCAGAACCCAACATTTCTGGCACTTTGATCTTGGAGTTCCAGCCTATATAACTGTAAGAAAATAAATACCTATTGTTTAAGCCACATGGTCTATAGTATTTTGTTATGTCTGAACTAGCACACTCAAAAGGATATCTGAATTATGCAATAGTTTATCAAAACCAAATATAACATAATTTTCATAGCATTTGTTTGATATTCATCTTTTCTTCCTAGAAAAAAGATATCTTGGTTTAAGAACTATTTCTTTTTTAAAAAAGGAAATAAAAACTAATTTTCCACTGAATCCAGAATCCTGGAACCAAATGACAGACAGCATTCCAACAAGACAGGGCATGAGTTGTGCTGTATTAATAATTCACACTTGCCTGGCRAGGTGTATCTGAATTAGAGCTCTGTACTGTAACTACTAATGACTTTCTTTAAACAAACACACATATTTACTCAAAATATCTAGTGAGGTAAATTGATTTTTCCCTCTTGGGGAGCTTATAATATCCATATTATTCATTTAATTTTATTGGTAAAATTTAATGTTAACTGACATGGTTGGTCCCATATGTGGGGCAGTAAATTAATATGTGCAGAAATCTCAAGAGGTGTTATCAGCATCACATGGCTGTTTTCAGCTCTCAAAGGAACTGCTTGGTTCAGAGCAAACAATACATTCTTTTACTTAAATAGAACATACTGGAAGAATAACCAAAAAGGACATGCAATTCTACTGTACCCGGCCTCTCAATAGCTCATATGCCGTCACACCCAGGGACCACCAGTCTACAGCAAAGGAATAGCCTGCTTCTTTTTTGGAGTTGAACATCTCAGGTGCTGAAAAACAAAGAAAAGTTAGGCAAGGTTTATGCTCTAAGACATTAATAAGCCTATTTTCCCAACATGTTCCTCCAGAGGAGAATTGCCAGCATAAAAGGTATAAACACTTTTATGGATGATTATTATCCATTGCTAGATTGCTCACAGCAGGCAAAAATTTCTAATTTTCTTAGCTCTTTCAGTAGCCTTCTTCATCAACCAATGCACACAGGCATGTACAGGCCTTAATAGACAAACTCTTCTCTTAGTTAGATCATGCACCTATTTCAAATTGGGTCCTACAGGGTCTCAAATATGTGATTAACTCTGAAATAAAGAAGGCTGAGAAGATGTTGTCTTCATTTGGAAGGCTTGCATTAAAGGATCTAAATTCATATTATGGTTGCAAACAACGCTCAATATTTGAGTCAAGGTACATTGGGTTGGCTGTCTATCCTGGAGCCACCTGGGAGCATTTGAAGACTCTTACTGGGGGTAAGGAAAGGAGAAAGAGGGAGTAGGCATTCTAGGAAATATAAGGTTTTGAAACAACTGTGGGTCATTCACACCTTGTAACCAGGGTTCTCTGAATTGACCACAAAGAAAGGTAGGGCCACACACAATTTTTCCCCTGGAGATGACTCCTTGTTTASACATGCTCTAAGCACTTTGCCACACTGCAAACCTTCTATATACCTTTTCATGAATATTCCTAAACCCTAAGGAGTGGAACAGAGAGAGTTAAACACAAAGCAAGGATAGGTATGTTATCTATTTGCTCAAAATGACATTCCTAGTATCTAATACAGAACCTGTCAATCACAGTCCATAAACAGAAATTTGTTATGTGAGTGAATGGATAAATCAACTACTTAAGCCACAAGTTGTGATYGTTAGCTCTGGAGCCATGCTTCCTAGGTTCTGATTCTGCCTCCACCATTTATTGTGCCCTTGAGCAAGTCAGTTGGCAGAGCATAGCGTCCTCAACAGCAAAATCAAAATAATAAGACAATCTTTACAGAGTTAGAAATTAAACAAGATAATGCATGTCAAAATCTCAGCATAGTGCCTGGCACGTACAAAATGTTCAAATACATCTGGTACTCTTGGTTAGAAGCAAACAACCATGCTAAAAGAGGAATTTACCTAGGCTAAAGGTACACAGGGTTGGTCCTAGGCTGCATGTAGAAAGATGCTGACTCTGGGCAAAGGAAACTGATATGACATGGGACTTGCATACACTGACTTGCCTGCCTGGTACACTCAAATTCTATGGACAGCATCCAATTAGAAAKGTTGAAGTTAACATCCCAGTGCCCAGGCATGACCCCAACTACGAGCTTGATCCAGCAGGACTAAGTGAGCCTCATACCCTGTGAATTCACTTTTCATGCTTCACTGCATCCTTTCTGCAAGTAGCAGCTCCCAGAGCAGCTGGGGAGATGATGGCCTTGACCTCGTAACATTCCCACAGACAGGATGGAGTGGACTACATTTCTGCTTTCCCCCTTCAATCTCACAGCAGGTCATCTCAGATAGTCCCCCAGGTGACAGGTGACAGACATCTCACTTAGAGAAGCTGCAGACAATTTTGAAGAAAAACCAGATCCATTGTGCTAAGAAAATGCCAAACAAAATAAGCATTACTCTATAAAAGTGGTGTCTTCTGTCGAATTAGATCATCCTTGGGTTTTATGTGTGTGTTCTTTTTTCTTTCCCAACTTCACAGAGTGATGATTACTTTCTCTTCTGCYTCCTCTGTTTTCAGACAGAAAGACATTTGGATGCACATGCATTCACTGGACAAATATTCATGATGTGAGAGGCACTGAGTGATTTTGGTAGGACATTAAGAACAGAAATCATGGAAACATATAAAAGCATAGAGTTGGGCTGGGGCTGTAACTCAGTGGTGGAGCGCTGCCTTGCATGTGTGAGGCACCGGGTTTGATCCTCAGCACCATATAAAATAAATAAATAAAGGTATTCTGTCCATCTACAGCTAAAAATACTTTTTTAAAGCATAGAGTAATCCTTTGGGTTCTCAAATAGCAGAAAATTCAGGGCAGAAAGATACTGAGGAGCCCTTCTTCAAAAAGAACCCTACTCCTGAAAAAGAGCAGATTGCCTGGGAGAGGTACTACATTTCCTTCAAAAGAGCCACTATGTATTTTGCATGGTGTTATTTTTAAGTAGTTCTATTCAGACATCCAGAAAAGTAATTAAAACATCAAAGGAGGATATAATGATTAGCTATAAGCAAAYGTCCATGCCACTGTCACACAAGTCAGGAAGTAGAATTTCACCCCAATTTTCTATGTCTTGACCCTCCACTTCCTGAGATCTCACTGTTCTGAACTTTAAGTTAAGGATTTTCTTTATTTTTTCATATAGATTTGCTCTCAATGTATGCATTTCTAAACAATGGTTTAATTTTGCCTATGGGTGAACTGACTAAGGAAATTCCTAGCTGCCTAGCCTTTGATTTATTTCAGTGCTTTACAATAAAGAAAACATTGTTAAAGTGCACATTTTTTTTTTTTTTACTCTATTGCCTGTCTTCTTAAATCCCATTCCTTATACTTTTTGGTTTCTTGTTTTTCTTTCTCAATAATATTTAAGATTTGTGCAAACTGCTGCATGCACTTACTGTTTATTCACGTTTAAGGCTATATGAGTATCCCATAACTTACCTATGACTCCTATTATTGACAGCTATTTTCACCTTAGGAATACTGTGAACAATACTTTTTAAAACATTCCTGTACATTTAGACACCTATAAGAATCTTTAGGTCCATCCCAGTAAGGGGGACTGTTCTGGATGGGGATGTGCATCCTCACATGTACTAAATGATACAAACTTTTCACCAGTGTGGTTTTGCCAGTTCACACTATGGCCAGCAGTGAATCAGAGCTCCTCTGTTCATCTACTTATTCACACTTGATGTTACTGACACTTTGGTTTTTGCAAATCTAGTGAGTATAAAATTATATCTCATTGTGGTTTAAATTGGCATTTCTCTAATTGCTAATAAGCTTGATTACATTTTAATATGTTTATCAGGTATTTGTATTTCCAACCTTTGATTTTCACAGTTTAAAAAAAAAACCTAGATATAGGCTGGGTGCAGTAATGCACACCTGTAATCCCAGTAGCTTTGGCGGCTGAGGTGGAAGGATAGAGAGTTCAAAGCCAACCTCAGCAACAGCTAGGCACTAAGCAACTCAGTGAGACCCTGTCTGAAAATAAAATATAAAATAGGGCTGGGGATATGGCTCAATGGTCTAGTGCCCCTAAGTTCAATCCCCCCRGTACCAAAAACAAACAAACAAACAGAAAAAGCCAAACCTAGACATTAAATTTTGGTCAGGATATAAAGAATGGGTCCCAAATTAAATCTATAAACTTAATATATTAGGAATAATGCATGCATAAACTTTACAAAAATGATTCTAAACTTCATTTACACAAAAAATARGGATAATGAAGATTTTTGAAAAAGAATAAAGAACTTGCATGCCATGTGTTAGTCTACATTATAAAATTATGATAATTAAGATTTGAAAGACTCAGAGATTATTGATTTAAATACACAAAGTTATTTAGTTTATAAGAAACACATTTCTTTGTTTATTTTTTACTTTTTTATTTGTTCTTTTTAGTTATACATGAAGTAGAATGAATTTTGGTCTAATATACRAGCATAGGAATACATTTCAAATAAGCATGGGAAGAGTCTTATTTAATACCTTGTCCCAAAATAATTATTTAATAATCTAACAAAAATAAAGTCAGATACTTTCCACATATGTTTAAACAAATAGTGGACAACCAGATTGTTACATAAACTTATTAAAATCTGGATGTAAGACAGTATTTCAAAGAATAGAATCAAAGATAGAAATCATAAAGCACAAAGATGAGGGGACTACAGATAAGGTTCAGTGTTGGAGCATGTGCAATGCCCTGGGTTCAATCCTCAGCACTCCACCCTGAAAAAGACAGTATGAGAAATTTGATGATACTAAAAATAACTTATTTATTTTTTTAAAAAAAAGGTCATAAATAGCCAGGTGCATTGGCATACACTTGTGATCTCAGCAACTCAGGAGGTTCAGACTGGAGGATCAAAAGTTCAGGGCCTCAGAAACTTAGGGAGACCTTGTCTCAAAATTAAAAATAAATAAGAAAGGCTGAGAATATGACTCAAGGTAAAGTATCCCTCGGTTTGATTTCCAGTATCAAAAAATCCCCTAAAAGTGACAGATCTTATTTGTCCCAATAACTTATAACAAATATAATACATTAGAATTTAAGTATTCATAATACACTAAGGCAAAACTTTGTCATATAACCAATAAGAAATAATAGAAAAGGAAAAAATATTAATACCCACATTGAATACAGGCAAAGACTATGARTAGGCATTTACAAAAGAAGAGAATGAAATGTAATTTTGGTTGGTGGGGGTGGGGGTGGGGTCGGGGTCCTGAGGATTGAACTCAGGGGCACTCGACCACTGAGCCACATCCCCAGGCCTATTGTGTATTTAATTTAGAAACAGTGTCTCACTGAGTTACGTAGGACCTCACGGTTGCTGAGGCTGGCTTTGAACTCGTGATCTTCCTGTCTCAGCCTCCTGAGCCACTGAGATTATAGGTGTGCACCACAGCACCGGGCTGGAATGCAATTTTAATATCACAATGCGGTAAAATTTTTGCTTATTATTTGGGGAAATTAAAAATATGTTRTATCAGTGGCAAGAATCAGGGAAATGACTGTTTCACATACTTCCCAGTGTAAGTAAAAATAAACATGAACTTTCAGAAGGGAAATGCATTAACATGCATATATCTTTCAATCAAAAATAAATTTAAAATTTAATTAAATTTAGTTGACAAGTAAAAATAATATGTGTGTGTGTTTATTGTGTACAACATGATATTCTGAAATATATATATATTGCAGAATGGTCAAGATATTTAACGTATCCGATACCTCACATACCATGTTTTTTTGTGATGAGAACACATAAAWTTTACTCTCAGTGATTTTTAAGAATAAAATACATTGTCATTTTTTGATGGAAATTTATCACAAACAAATGATTAAGTTGCAGAAAATTATTCTACTAATAGATTTTTACTACAAAATTATGTTTCTTATATAAATAATCTATATATTTATTTATTTCAAATGAGGACAAACTAATGTTCAATAGTAAGGAATAGGTTAAATAAATTTTGGTGCCATCCTCTATAAAATATGTCCATTAAAAACAATAGTTAAGGGGCTGGTGAAGTGGCTCAGTGGAAGAGCACTCATCTAGCATGCTTGAAGCCCTGGGTTCAACACCCAGCAATGCAAAAAAAAAAAAAAAAAAAAAAAGGAAAGAAAAAGATAGTTATATTTACTGGCACAAGAAAGTAAGCAGTGCCAGTTGTCAAGATCCAAACTCTGGAGTCAAGACAAAGGGGCTTCAGCAGAGGCCTGTTTACTGACTTGAACAAAAAGGCAGTATAGCAACATGTTGAGTTAGGGCTCTGAGCTGATCCCAGTGGTGTGCACCTGTTACTCCAGATATTTGGGAGGCTGAGGTACAAGGACTACAAGTTTGAGGTCATTTAGTGAGACTCTGTCTCAAAATAAAATTTTAAAAAAGCTAGGGATGTAGCTCAGTGGTAGAACATACCTGATCCCTGGTACCACCATGAAGGAAGGAAAGAAGGGAAGGATGGTCGGATTTGGGTGCTGGCATCAGATCATTATTATGTTGCAGCTAAAATTTTCTAGCTGCTCAGCTGCCTAYCTCTAAAGTAGGAAAAACAATCATTCTTGCCTCACAGAATGGATTCTAGTTTAAATAATGTAATGCATGCACTGAGAATAGGACTCAGCATGAGAGGAGAGCTCAGTGCATGTAAGGCATTATAGTTTTATCATTGTCATTTTCTTCAATGTCCCAAGCTAGATGCTTCCAGACTTGGGCTTAATTTCATCCTCTGTCAATCACTTGCCATATGGCTTCACTTCCTCTCTCATTGAGCCTGATTTTTAGTCTATGAAATAATAATATAGTAAAACCTATTTTATAGGGTTGTTTAGAGAATGTAATGATATAATGAATGTTAAAAACCTAGTGAAGTTTCTGGTACATCATAAATGCTCACTATGTGATTCTATTATTGTTTTTACTACATTATGAAGTGAAAATTTACATTGAAGAAATTTAGCATGATCCCATTTTAAAAATGTGTGTATATGTTTGAACATGGAAGAAAAGAAGATCTATAAGGGAGCTATAAACATCTATTGGTAGAAGAGTTAACTTATTTTCCCTTTTGCTTATCAGCATTTTATACTTTTTCCATAGTGACATTATGAACAGACACGCACACATGTATGCACACATGTAATGCACACACACACACACACACACACACACACACACACATACACACTTTTATATATAAAGAATATTTTAATCAGCAAAATTCCAAGTGATCTGGATTACATTCACACAGATGTAAGATTATGGGGAGCAGGAAGGACTAGAGTGATCAGTGGAGTATGGAGGTAGGAGATTATGAAATGTGAAAAGCAAAGCTTCCTTGCTGTGTTGGAGGTAGTAAAGACTTGGCAGACAGATCATTCTCCTTTCAGAGTTCTGTAATGCTCCATGCCATGCTTAGCTCCTCATTCTACTAGATATGTGCATCTGCTAACCTTCATTTAGCATTTATTTCCTACTTTTATTTCTTCTATCTTTTTAGATTGTTTACTTTCTGGTTAATTTCTAATTAGTATGCTACATAATCACTGTAAAGAGGACACKGATGAATGCCTGTTAGGTAGATTTTACCAAATTATTCGGTACATAATTTTTAAAAAGGGAAAACAGGCTTCAACCTACAACTGCCCTTTGAAAGACTTCTATGTAAAAACCAAAGACAAGGGCACCTCTAGATAAAGAGATATGCTATGACAATCAAATATTCATTTTGGAATAAACTAAGGAACATTTCCAACATGGTAGCCTAAGTTGGCTTAGAACCATTTAAGAACTACAAATAGCAATATTTAAATATATTCTCTATCTCTATCTCTTTCAAGTGAGAAACCTGAGTTTGACTTAAATCTAAGCTTCTTCATGCTTAGATAAGTAATTATTAGCCATGTGATCTTTGGCAGATTACTTAGTTTCTGATTGTCTTCAATTTAAAATGATGACAAGTCTAGTCTGTCTCACAGGGCTATTGGGAAAAGGAAATGAATAAATGAATTTAAAACATTTAACACATTGTTTGGGCTACAGAAAGATCTCAATAAATATTGTCAAATTGTTAACCGTAAGGGTGAAAGTAGGGAGGTGTATGAAGTCTTGCCTATATTCCAATTTCATAGTTCCATCTTATGAAAAGACTAGAATTACCAATTTTGAAAAAAAAATGGATTACAAAGATATTGTAGCTAAAATCACTGAGSAGAAAAAAAGGTGGCCTCCCTTTCCCCTCACCATGGAAACCAGCCCTAGAAAACCCAGATGCACATTTTCTGATTTGGCTCCAAGAAAATAGCCCTTAATATGGAAACGCAGGAAACCTGGGGAATAAACTCATCAGACCAGCAGGCTTGGATATTCCCTTTTATCATTTAAGGGCCATGGGTTTTAGGTGGAAAATTGGCTGAATTATATGTTTCCATTATTTTAGAAGTGACAAAAGAGATTTATTCCCCTCACTGGTAATTGAAAGCCATGAAATTTCCAGTTGTTCAAATATCATATAAAATTAGGTTCATTTTTTTTCCCCATATATTTCTTTCTCTTGACAGTAAGGTGGCCCTTCATAGGGAGGTTCTCTTATCCTCCTTCTCTCATTACACAGAGGAAGAGAATGAAATATTATAAGAAATTGGCATGGTCTTTGTCACCTATTTTGCCTGTGAGTTACTCTAACTGTATCTGGCTATTCAACTGATTCCACCCTGACTTAACCCAACTAATTTAAACAGCAACATTATCTGCTTTAACATCTTAATTAGGAAAGAAGCAGGAGTAGCTCTTAGTCTCTGTCATCTGCCAGCAAGGGTGCAGTGACTGAGCTCCTGTTTTCTGGATAGGGGCTCCTCTAATGATAGCTCAGTCTATGGCCTAAAAAACTGTAATCGCTTTTTGCTCATTACAGCACTGACTTCAGACAGTTTAAAATGCACTCCTGTGAATTTTGAAACTAATCTCATATCTGAATCAAAGCTCCTCCACTCACTCCACAGGACTGGATTCTGCAGCTTTGGTGTGGAGATGGAGGATGGATCTGGTGCTACACATCAGTTTCCTACAAAGCACTGTTTGTTTTGGGATGTGAAGGAGGAGTAGCAGAGGCAGAGGGAACCGAACATAAATGTGCTGACCCTACCACAGGTTTGGCCAAGGTTGTCAATCCTCCACACTGGAACTACCTACCCAGCTTTAAAACCAGCTGATTCCTTGGGCTAYGTCCTCAGAGAGTGTGACATAGTCAAGGTGTCTTGGGACTGTTGGTGTCCCATTTTGATGGGAGCCTCTGTTCCTTCCAGCCTATACCCCCACACTGTGGGGGCATGGCTTGTAAAGCTAGATCGAATCCTCTAGCTGCTCCCCTAAATAGATTCACAGCCACTASATACCTCCATCTCCTGGAGTAAGGAGTAAGACTTTTTCCCAAACTCATCAACCCTCCATGGGAAACTAGGCCCTGTTAGCTTAGTTAGGGACCAATCCTCAAGTCCAGTGACTAAACAGCCATGTAACCAAGAATGGAATGTCAGGCCCCTCTTCTTGTAGTCACCCCAAGAATTTACAGATCATTAGTTGAGATCTGACTCATTTKCCTTTGGAATAGTAAGAAGGAATAATTCAGAGTAATGAATGTGCCCCAAAGGGTTACAGTTTGCTTCATGTTTTTTTTTTTTTTTAAGGTGAACAAAACTAAGACAAGTTCTGCTAAAACCCTGTCTATAAAGAGAAAGCAGCCTCTAACAACTCATACGAGAATTTTTAATGGATTTGTTTCTACAATTAAATGTGAGACCTCACTGGTAATTTGCCACCTATGCCTACCCTATTCCTTACCCCTTAACAATTGCAAATATCAAGATGAACATAGTTCCTCAATTCACTGCAAACAATATTATGTGAAATCATTTAACCTGTCTGAGGCAGAATTTTCCCATCTTTAAAAAGAAGAAGTCATGGAATTGTGGCAAACAAATTGAATCTAAAATTATAACTGGGTACACTTTACAGTCCTATGCATGTAATGCAGTTTTATGTAAATGAATAGTTAAAATGATTCTTTTATCACTTATTACCAATCTACTACTTCTTCCTTTGTTGTTTCATTGTATTTTTATCATCTCCTCCCACTAGTATGTATGCTGCATGAGGTGGAGACCTTGTGTGTGTTGCTCATTACAGGTTCACCAGCATCTAAAGCCCCAAKGATACACAAAGACAATTAGTGGACACTAATTGAATTAATTAATATTTTTGTAAGGAAGTGGGGAAAAACCTATCTTAATTAGTGCTTTCAAAATGATATCCATGGCCCTCCTGAATTCAGATCGCCCTATGTACTTGCTGATAGAGAATAGTGAGGTTCACCTCAGACCCATCAGATCAGAAGCTCCCTGGGTAAAGTCAGAGGGGAACTTGTCCATTCTCACTGCAAGTCCCCTGCAGTAAATTTTGTCTACAGGAATGAGAAACTATAAAGCTTTGCTCTTAGTAATTATGGCCACTCGTGAGGCCCATACCCATGTAAGGCTTGGTGCCGGCCATAGTGGTGATCCGCATCTCCTTGGGCAGCATGGCAGCAATGTTGAAATCTGTGATGTGCACGTGTCCTGGGGAGAGAGAAAGACCACAGAGATGTTAAGTCCCCTTCAACCCAGTGATGTAATCGTTTATCTAACTGAAACCATTTATAAACTTGGTCTTTCTTGTATGCTGGGTACAGGCAATAAAAGCTTTCTTATTCCATTCTCACGGCCACCATGATCTTAAACCAGCAACTCCTCAGAAGCCAGAGCATGACAGGGCATTGACTAGTCGCTGCTTTGAACTTGAAATTCAACCTCCGAATATCTTAACCTTAGTAGTTGAGTTCATGTTCTGGTAATTCTACTTAGGCAAATTTTGTCTATTGGCAGCATTTTAAGTTGTTTAGGTTATGAGTATCAAGAGTGAGACAGCCAAGAGCTAATCAAAGTGTCACAATCCCAAGCATATCTTATGTGATCTAAAAAAAAAAAAAAAAAAAAAAAAAAAAAACAGAGGCAAAATTACAACAAGCCAGCAAAAGCATGGGTATTTTTATTTTTAGCCAGGAAAGAATTCTTGTTCTCCTTGTTTTTCTGAAATGCTTTGTCTGCTTGTTTGTTTGCTGTTGGAAGAACTCAAGTTGTCACACCATCAATCCCCAACCAAGTAACTATTATAAATGGAAATCAGGGGGCAAAAAAATCAAAATCAAAATCAACTTTCATCTTTAAAGGGACTCTGAGGAATACTAGACTGGGGTCCAGGAGACCTGGTCTCTGCCTGAAAACCACCCCTAGCACATAGTACGTTTTRCATCCTTTTCCTAGGTTGGGCCTAAATTTTTGTTTATTAAAAAAAAAAAAATGGGTAGATAAGATGGTCTCTAGGGTTTCTCTCAGCTATAATGTTCATGGTGACACAGTATGGTTCTAACACTTAAGTTTGACAGGAACACACTCTACAAAGTGTCTAGGGTCCCTGCATTTATAGCAAGAAAGAAAAGAGCAGTGCAGGAAGCCAAGGCAACCACAGGAATATCTGCCTTCAGAGGATCTTGAAGGTTCTGCATTTCCAGTTATATGTGTCAGTGGCTTTGATGAGTCCAGGAYGCAATTGGAGGATGGGGTCGAATTCTTTTCCCATGGTCTATAGTTCTCACTCCCCACAGTCTGCTCTTTAATAATATTTAGTCCATGGCTAAGGATAAATCTCACTGCCTTCACTATGGGGGTTTTATTTTGTGCAGAAACTGTGTTTTCTTTTTGTTTATGTGATGATATTTTAAAAAAGTAAAAGTAGCACTCATCTAATAAAAAATTAAGGTATTCTTGCCTTAATGGCACCAATGGTGATTTCAACCACTCTCTCCCTATGACAGTTTATAGCTTTTTTTTCTCCTGCACCCTTTTTTTCTCCCTATGGTTTACACTTAAAGCACCAGACAGTAGTTCATAAGGTTTGATGCAGATTAGGTGGGCCTGGAAGATTTGTGGTTAACAACTTGTTCTCTGGAATCAGATTGCATGGCCTTAGGCCTAGTTTCTACTACTAACCAGCTGTGTAACTTTGAAAAGATCACTAGGCCCTCTAACAATAGCAGGGTTCTCAGAAGGTATGGCTACTGGGAAAATGAAATAAATTAATGACTCTGGGAGATTTAGCACAACATTTGGCAGAAAGTAAGTGTTTTGTTGTTGATATTTATCATTATTAGAAATTTCAGTGTAGTTTTGCAAAACACATATGCCTGGACTTTACTCTCTTGAGAATCCAATTCAGTAGGGTACATAGAAGAGTTGGGCCCCAAATTTCACAGTTGATTCAGAGGAACAGCAACCTTCTTCTCTTGCCTGAGTAGATTTTCTAAGCTTAGTCCTAAGATTATCTATACTAGTGCAGAAGTAGAAGGTAAAATATGTCAAGACAACCTGATTCCTACAGACCAGGAGCATCAGTCATCTGAGAGCATGTTAGAAATGCAAATTCTTGGGTTTCCTCCAGCCTTACTGAATCAGAAACTCTGGGGTTGGGGCTCTGAGTTTAAACAAACTCTCCAAGTAATTTCAAAACCTCGTAAAATCTGAGATTACTGTTTGAAAGATGACTTGGCTTAATAAAAGGAACAGACCCTAGGAAATATTCATTATATATTTGTTGAATTTGAGAGTTGAATGTTTGTCTTTTAACTATTTACATTAGTCTGATTAAAAAATCCAGCTCTTAAAATGCTGTCACATGAAGTTTTCCCTTTAACTCAATGAGGTGTTCTCTATTTTATACATGAATTGTTTGTACTATGTCCACAGGGCTCAGTAGTACCAGACTTCAAATTAAGATCTAGAATTTGTTGTAGAGCCGCTCAGGTGGGAGTTATGAGATTGGCAGAAGCTTTCATATCCTGAAAGAACTACTTCCTGATTGGCTCAGAGTTGTTGGGTTTGTTTGTTTGTTTTATTTTGTTTTTTCTCCTGCCAGAATGCCTAGTACAAAATATACAGGAAACATTTGAGGGCCAGGATCTATAGGAAGTTTTAATTTAGTGCTCTTGGGCTGAACATTGAAATCAGAGTTTTACAAGGCCCACAGATGGTGGCCCTTCAACCTCAGCTCCCCCAGCTACTACTACACTTTGCTTCTGCTCACCCTGATGACCATCTGCCAGGTTCCTTCCTGCACTGCAAAAGTGAATTTGAGTGCTGGGTCACAGGGGAGGGTTCAGCCTCCTGCTATTGAAGTGCACAAGAACCATCTGCAAAGCACTTTCTTAGTATGAAGTTATTCGGGTACAGGCTAAGAACTTCCTGATCTAGCACCAGCAGGAGATGGGTGCCTTTCCTTTTTGCCTCTGTGGCTTGAGACAGGATCCCCTTAAAATCTATATTCATTTTACTGAGTCATTGAATTTAGCCATCCTTGTTCTCATGATCTGCGCTCTGACCCTGCCTGCTCAGCACAAGGACCTTTCTTATTAGCATGGACTCCAGGGCACCATAATCAATCAGTTGCCATGGCCCTCAACTTTAAAACTCCTTCCTATTTGCAAATGTTCAAAGTATGCACCTCACATTTTACCTACAATGCTTTTTTAAAAAATATTTATTTTTTAGTTGTAGTTGGACACAATACCTTCATTTCACTTATTTATTTTTATGTGGTACTGAGGATCCAACCCAGGGTCCTGCACATACTAGGCGAGCGCTCTACCGCTGAGCCACAACCCCAGCCCTACAATGCTTTTTAAAAAGGCATATCCTTAGGTACTACCTGAGACTTAATAAATCAGATTATTGTGGGACTGGGTACAGTATTCTGAATTACATCTGTTTTCAAAAGACACCATCCACTTGAGTTTTAGGCACACTTTGGGATGCTGTGGGAGAGAAGCCATTAATATAACAGGCTCAGTTCTTCCTCATCCCCAGATTGAGGTTTTGCCCTTTCTCTTTAGATGATATTAAGAAACCTAAATTAGGGGCTGGGGATGTGGCTCAAGAGGTAGCGCGCTCGCCTGGCATGCGTGCAGCCCGGGTTCGATCCTCAGCACCACATACCAACAAGGATGTTGTGTCCGCCAAGAACTAAAAAATAAATATTAAAAATTCTCTCTCTCTCTCACTCTCTCTCCTCTCTCACTCTCTCTTTAAAAAAAAAAAAAACCTAAATTAGAAGATTCCATAATTGTCATAGTCTCTGATATGCCAGACATATATTATTGTTCGTCTGAATGCAGCATTTATTTCTTCAATAATTAAAGCACAAGAATATTAAACATTATGGAATTGATAGAATTGGCTGATGTCCTTAAATTGGTAGAATGTGAAAACATATATCAGGACAGTTCATTATGAGTCATCCAAGACCTGCCTGAACTAGTAAATAAAACCCCTGAGAAGAACAGTGGCAGGTATGCTCTACATTAAAAACATTTTTTATAGTCCAATTCAGATGGACAAGGAATGTTCATTCACATGCTGGTAAAAGTTGATATTGCAATCAACTCTAATAAATGTCAATATTTTTTAGCAACCATCAGTAATATGAATCAATACGAATGAATAAAACAAAGTGCTTGCCTGTCACTGAGTGGTGTGGATTAAAATATAAGCTGCATAGTGTAATACACAGCTCACTTGGAAAGACGAGTATAGGAAGTGAACAAAAAAAGAAAAAGATTTTAGCTTTTGCTAAAATCCCCATGTAAAAGCCCCATGGGATGGTCTGTCAAGAGTGAAATAGAATTATAGAGGGAAAAGATGAACAAAGCTTTCAAATTAGAGCTCCATATAGAAAAATCACACTAGGCATTGATTTGTGGTCCAGCTGATTCTCATAAGAACAACTACACAATCACCTGGAGGGTGAGCTCAGGGATTTATTCATTTAAAAGTGGTTAATTATGGTCCCTGAACAAAGTCTGAAGTCCTAGTTTTTCGGAATCTAAATAAATAGAAATGAACTTCAAAAATATATTTTTTTTTCCAGAAAGGGACTCCTAGGACAATGTTTAGAGAATGGCTTTTAATCTTATTTTTTGGAATGGTTCTATTCCATTCCTATACAATCCTTCCCAAAGCAATTTTTCTTTTATAAGCAGGAACAATTCTCTAGTCGAGTTCAGGATGGGACTATAATAGAGAAAAGCTCCTTAGAATTCATTGTTCAAGCCCAAAACTTGAGAGTGAAAGGGGTCATCGTAAATAATACACCAGAAAACAGGTGTGCACTGGAACTGTCTCTCAGGCAGATTGGGGTGGCAGCTCCTACTTCCTAAGCAACAGAGCCCCAGCCCCACCAAGACTAGACCAAAGAGGTCACCAACAGTGGTCTTAGCCCATTGTGCACATGCAGGAAATCAGGATGGGAGACTGAAGGTAGAGTTATCTGAGGGTTAAGAATTAAATGAAAAATGTAAAGCCAAGATGTAACAAGTAGATAAGCAGAATCTTTGACATGTTGCTCCTGAAATCAAAATAATTATTTTAGGAAGACAAGTAAGTACTCTGTTACAAACTTGATGCATATCAGATATATCCTGTCACATATATAGTCACAAAAAAACAAGATGTAGTCCAGGTTTCCTTCTCCAGAACAGAAAGCCTCTACTACCTCATTGGAATCGTACTCATAGTTAACTTTTATTGAGTGATTTCTTTGCAGCAGACATTGCATTAAGCACTTTATAAATTATGTTGGTTAGTTTTTATTATGACCCTAAGAAGTAAGTACTCTTTTGATCCTGAAAAAAAAAAAAAAACCTAAAACACTGGGGATGTTTAGGTACCATGTTGAAACTCATAGCTAGTGAGTGAGTAAACTGGGTCTGGAAGAAAGGCAATCTGACTCCAGAACCCTCCTCTTAACTACACTATAACAGAATCCATATTTTACAAGGGAAGTCTCTAAAGGTGATTAAACTTGATGATTAATTGATTTCTCCACCTGCTTCCTCATCTATCATTACCAAGTTGCCAAGAAAATAATGGGAAGGAAAAAGTTGACAGAAGGAGAGTAGGTACCCTCGTGGTGGAAATAAGATGAAGCCAAGTCTGAGACCCAAGACTAAAACACTGTTCTTGGAATGAAAGACAAATCTTAAAAGCTTTCGGCTGATAAGATCAGTCTGCCTCTACTCAGAGCTTCTGAAAATGATAGAGCAACAAATGTTGTTGAGAGCCACAGCCAAAGGGCAAGTGGCTCCTGAATTGTGCCCAGCCAGACTGCGGCAAAATGTGTTGTGGTTTGCATCTGAAAAGTCCACCGAAGGCCCAGGTGTTGAAGGCTTGGTTCCCAAGGCAGTGATGACCTGAGGTGGGGCTTTGATAAAATGATTGGATCATTAGGGCTCTGTCCTCATCAGTGGATGAATCCATTGACAGATGAAAGCCAGAGAAAACAGAATATAACAGAGTAGTATCATCAAGTTCTAGGCAGGCAGGCAGGGCATGGTTTGGAGGAATGAGGTCACTGGGTGCATGCCTTTTGGGACATGTCCTGGGCTCCTTCCTCCCCACCCTTCTGTTTCCTGGCTGCCACAAACTGAGCAGCTTTCTTCCACCATGCCCTTTCCCCTCAGGCCCAAAGCAATGGAGCTGGCCAACCATGGAGGAATACCTTTGAAGTTGTGAAATTAAATAAGTCTTTCCTCCTTGAGGTTGTTTTCATCAGGTATTTTGGCCACAGTGACGACAAGCTGAGTGACTCAAGATACCATGCACAAAGTCGCCTGGTGGAGGGGGCAAATGAGGACTAAACCACTCTAGTTGACCAACATGCTGGACCAGCCTTGTTCTGTTAGAAAGCTGGGAGCACTTTTTTCCTTTCTTGCTAAAAGGTGACCTCAGTAGGTCACATTTCCACAATTATGAGACTTCACAGGGTGTATGTAAACCAGAACAAGAGATGAAGTTGCATCCTACTCCAGGCAGGGATAGCTGGTATTTTTCATGAAAGTCACCTTCATGCCAAGTCTCAACATTGCTCATATTTCTGAGACTTGGAAATCTGTTCCCAAATGTCAGAAGCAGTAAAGGTAAAGAAGAAATAAAGTACTGGAGAAAGTGGAAAAAATCTTTTTAGACAGTCCATAAATAAATAATGACCCTGAGCTTTGAGATTAGAGGTCATACACAAAAGTGTTTCTTAGCCCTCTGAGCATAGGTGGAGTCTGACAAATCTGGTTTAAAACTGAACGGAGTAAATAAATAATGAGCAATGAATGGTACTTGGAGTTTCAGTCCTACTTTCAAGTCCTGAATGAGTAGAGAGCTTTGCAGATTTAGGACTCTCATCCAGCAGCTTTCTGGATATAGAACATTGCCATGGTAACATTTATAACACTCAGTCTGTGCACCTACAGGTCTTCCTTGGTGTAGTACCAATAAATCCAAATGTACATGAAAACAAATATTAAGAGACTGTCCACATGTGATCACTGTTGACAAAAGCTTGTTCCTGAAGATATCTAATCAGTTTTTAAACTTCAGGCTTTCACTTACACCTTGACGATTGTTGCCACATCCTATATCAAGTTGGGTATCATATACATATGTAATTCTAATTACTTCATATTTTCTCTAAACCCACTGATATTTTTAACTAAAAGTTTTTTTAATAGAATGTTTAATATTCCTCTACAATGTAAAAGTAATTTGCCTTGATAAGAAGGAAAGCGTATATGTAGATGCAATGATAAAATAATATCACTAACTTGGTGTAGACTGATATCTACCAAAGGCTCTAGGCTTGAGAACTGCTCTGTCTTTATGAAAAAAAAAAGGAGGTGATTGTGTATAATACAATATTAAGGCAAACTAAGACCAAAACAACTTGTGATGGTTTTCTTGAAGAGAAGTAATCATGGAAGAATAAGTAGAGAATGACTTTCTCATTACATACATTCAATATCATCTAAGGGTGTTTTGTTGTATGAGCTACTACTATAAATCATAGTTTCCCCACATTGTCCTTCCTACCCATAAGATGGAGTTTATACATATAACTCAAATGCATCAAGCAAGACACCTTTTCCATAAGTGATATTCCTTTACTGGGGAGAATGATTTATTTTATATGCATGCCATGCAACTGATTGCAAATAGATCATTTACTCACCATGTTCATCAAGTAAAATATTGTCAGGCTTCATATCCCTAGGAAAGTAAAAAGAGAAAGTTGTTCATAATAAAACAAACAGAGCTAAAGGATAAAGGTGAAAGTGCTGAACAATGCTAATTAAAGCTGAAGCCAAAGGACTGCATCACTCACCATCTCCTCGAATCTGAGACAATTACTGCTACTATCCCTAGTTTGCAGATCTGAAAACTGAGGCTTCACTCAAGGTCAAAGAGCCAGTAAAGGAAAGAGCTGGGCTTTGGACCTAGGTCTCTCTCATTCAAAAATTCAAACTCTTAACTGCTGTTGCATATTGTATCTAAGCATGTAATTATTAGTCCATAGGATTATATGAGGCATTTCAAATGCCATAAAGTAGCACTAGTAAGATTAGTCATCATTTTCCTATGTAACCCAGAGTTACAGAAATGATGTAAACTTAAAGACCCTATAAAACAGGGGAAATGTGGTTATATTTTAAACTTGGAGAGTTTATACATTTTTTAGGATGATGGCTTAATGCCCACAAGTTACTTAGTAATTATTCTTGGGGTAAAGAGACCAATCTTCCATGCACTGGTATATGGCATGATGACCTAGTTATCATACTTCAGTATCACATATTGAAAATCTGATAAAAGAGTAGATTTCAGGTACCTTCACCACAAAGAAAGAAAAGTAACCGTGTGAGGAGATGGATATGCTAATATGCTTGATAGTACTATTCATTATGTAGATGTCTATCAAAGCATTGTACTGTATACCTTAAATATGTATACCATTTTCATTTTTAAAAAATTGAAACAGAAAAATAAAAACAAAAACCAATCCATAGGGGGGAACAAAACCCTCTCTCTTCCAATAAAGATAGAAGGCTAATGTAAAAGTAATGGCCGACAGAGTTTTCAAAGCACTAGTGTAATGATTATAATTGTAAGCAGTACTCCTCAATTAGAAAACAGCATTGTGGTTCATGACAGACCTCACTTCTCTACTCTCAGATTTTCAGTCCCCTTCCCTAATGTACCATTAAGGCCCTTCAGCCTAGATTCATAAAAGCCATTAGGAAAGAAATTCTGAAACAGGGTTGGGAACACATTTTCAGTCTGGTCAAGTGGGCTTTTGTGTTACTAGAATAAAAAAGTGACCTTGGTCTTTGATAGACCAAGACTGCCGGCATCTTCTTTTCTTGGCGATAATGACTAATAATCCCTCACTCAAAAACAGAAACAAGAATATGGCACACCAAGATTCAGGTGGAACAGATTCTCTTGCAGATCTTGAAAATCTTCTCATTTAGTTGGTTAGGTTGTTAAAATTAATTCTGGAAAGGATTCACGTATCAGTGGCAAATTTTTCTCTGGTGCAGGGAACAATTTACTGAGAAGATAGTATAAGAGGACATTAAATTACAGGTTTCTGGGGCTAAGCATTCTCAGTATTGAAGACACACCACAAAACCTTTGACAAATCCCATTACTTCAGGAATTATCAGGTCCAAACTTATGTGGCATAAAAGCCTTTCATAATCTGACTCTGTTCTAGTCACACAGCTCAAGGGGTCCTCTAAACACTCCCTGTGTCTGCTCACCTGCACATCTCTACACCTGCTTCTGTTCCCCCGCCTAAATCATGCCCTTCACCACTACACTCAGACAACACAGACTCATCCTTAGCCTCATGGGCCAGCGGCCATTTCCTGCAGAGTACCTTCCGTGACTTCCCAGTGCTGGATCAAATATTCCTGCCATGTGTTCTGACTATACATTGTACCTTTCCATCTGAACGATTATCACATGTGTTCATTTTCCCGTATCACACTTGCCTTCATGAGCTCCATGATATTGGGGATGGTTTATTGGTTAATGGTGTATGCCATCCCATAGTCTCATAGAGCCTAGTGGGTTCTGAGTAACTAAAAGACACCCAGAGAAGCCTGATCTTAATAGTGTAGACACAATGCTACCAGACAGAACCAAACCTCTCCACAGTTTGCAGTTAGAGATAAACCAGGTGTTAAGCACTTTCCAGCTTTTAAAAATCTACATCTGGTGGTTTTCAGTCAGCCAGGGAAGAAATAGGCCCAGGAAGGAGAGAGCTGGGTATAGCAAAACCAGCAGCAAAATTACTTGGCCTGAATTGAGAACTTGCTGGGAGGAATGTATTTTTTTTTGAGTTTACTATTAAATCTCTGAGCATTCTTTTTCTTTTTTGGGTCTATATATCATTATGTCTACTAGGTTTCCTTGAAACTTAAATAGATAAGATAAACAACAGTTAGTTTAATACTTACTACTTCAATCTTAAATTTATTCATATGTTTTGGTAAGTCACTATACTCAGGTAACATAAAGATGAGACACAGTTCCCTCAGGGATAGACAGGGTGAGAAAGGTTCATAAGGGACCATGCCATAAAAGGCCTATAGAAGTAATGAGGCATGTTTACTACAAGTTCAGAGAAAGAACATGAGAAAAACTAATAAAAATGTGAAATAAAGTAGATTTTGAAACATCAAAATAAATTACATAAGCTGAGATTCTAACTACACAGTTTCTCTAAAATGTGATAATGTAACTTCTAAGTCACTACGGGGAAAACTGGAATATGATAAAATTGTCTATTTGTGTACCAGAAGAAGAAAAATGAAAAGAAACCCAGTATGCTATATTAAAATTCTAGAAGAAGTTGAGGATTTCTAGTTCTGAATTTTAGCTCCATGTCTTTCCTTTAGTGCCACTTCAGCCTTTTGGAGTAAATCTAAATATGACATAACTTGTTCTAAAATGTTTCTTTCATTTCTGGCTGTCTATAGTATGATTAACTTAGTAATCAGCAAGCCTGGATATGCTACAGAATCACCTAGAAACTTTGGAGTAGTGAGGATTCTCTGACCTAGCTCAGTCCCTAAGGCATCAGACTCTGTGGACAGGACCAAATATCTGTGGAAAACTAAGAATCCTCTAGGGCACTCTGATGTGAAGTCATTCAGAAATACCATCTAGGCACTGTCCAAATCCAACATGTTAAGCTAATTTTAGAAATGAATCTCTTAACGGCATATGTATAATTGAAACGGTGTTAGAAAAGTGCAACACCTACCATTCACTGACAAATTCTTCTGTTGAAATATGGTGGGGTTTGGTTACAACCTACATATCATTAACAGATAGCAGGTGATGCTACTTGTCATTCTTGATCAACTTAGTGTCTCTGTGTATGCTCCATCCAAGTCCCTGGGCCCTCAGTTCTCTGACTTACCTCCAATCATCTTTTCATTTATCCTACCCAGCTGTTTTCTTATTCCCCCTTTCCTTAATCATCCTGAGTCATTACAATGGCCTAACCCCTGACTTTATATTGACTTTCTATACAATATAATTCCCAAATTGTCTTATCTACTACAACGAAACCACCCAATATTGACTCTATAATTTTTTCCTTATAAATCAAGACTCTCAGAGAATTCTTAATTTTTTCCATTGTCCATTATTAACTTTCTTTGGAAAAAAACAAAAACCTTTCTTGCCTTCAGTTGTACTTACCTAATATAATCCTTAAGTTATGGAATTGTACTCCCCCCAATTCTTCTTGGCTGTAACCAAGCACCTGAACTTAGCTAGAAGAAAAGACATAATAACCCTCACTGTTCTCATTCAAATAAGCATCAGTATGCCAGGCAATGCTGTGATCCTTCTCTTCTCCAAGGTGACCACTTGACATTTTGCTTTGCTCCTCAAACCTCTCTCCATCTACTTTCTCTCAATCGATGGCCTCCCGACCTCACAAAGAGAAAAGAACCAAGGCTTGTGGACTCACCTACCACCAATTCTACCAACCTTCCAATTTGTTATGAGTTCCCTCCAGTTATGTTGGATGAAGAGTCCCTGCACCTATTCCAGACCAACTCTTCTACTGGGGCTCTGATCTACTTTCACCTTCTCATGGATTTCCCTCAGGAAGTGTCTTTACCTTCTCCTACACCATCTCCTTCTCCTTATGTTATGATTGAGTCTCCTAAAGCCACTGCCACTTACTGTCCCATCTTACTATTTTCCTTTATAATAAAATCTCTGGATTGTGTTACGGACAGGTGAGCAAACAGAGATGGCAACTGTTGTCTTCTTCTCCACCAACCTAAACAGGCTTCCATCTCCTCCACTCCCTGTAATTACTCTTGCCAAGTTCACTGATGACCTCCAGCGTGCCAAATCCAATTGCCACTCTTACTTACTGGGATTAACTTCTCAGGAGATAGAGCACTCCTTCCCTCCCAACACACTTTATTTTCATGGCTTAGAAAAATCCATATTTTTACTGTTTTTTTTTTCCAACATCAGAATCCCTTCTTTAATCTGCAGTCCTGGTGCCTTCTAGGTTCAATTTTTTTTTTCTCCAATGTTGGGATTCTCCAAGTTTCAGTCTCATACACAACATAAATGGATAGACAAAGTGACATACATATACTCTAATAATTTCATTAAGTTCCATTATTTTAAACATGATTTTATTGCAAGTAGTTATGTGTATCAAATTTGCATTTCCAGTACTGACCCTGAAGTGCCAGATTAGTACATAAAACTGCCTGCCTGAAGGTTCCATCTGATTATCTAGTAACTGAGACAAATACAATATACCCTCAACAGAATCTTTGATAGTCATCTGCAACCTTACCTCATATAAACACCAAACTCTTAGTCCAGAATTCCTTACCCCAGTGTATGGCCCCATTTTAAAGGTAAAAATCTTGAGACTATTCTTAATTTTTTTTTCTTGAAACCCAATGGCAATCCCTTAGAAACTCATGACAAGTCTAAAACATAATTACTGAAAATAATATATAGATTCCTCAAAATTACCATTCAATCTTTAATGAGTGTACAGAACTTCAGTTTGAGATGATGGAAAAGTTCTGGAGATGGATAGTGGTGATGAGTGTATAACATTGTGAAGGTACTTAATGTGCTTTGTCACTTAAAATGGCTAGAATGATATTTTATGTGTTGTGTATTTAAAAATATCAATCAATAAATTGCTA